GAACATCTGGGGGCTCTTCCTGAAGTGTGAGGGCTGCTTATGTGGAACATAAGCAACCACTGGTTTAAGGCAAGGGCTCGCAGCGAAATACATTTGATAAAATCTGAGGGAATCATCTCCTGCCAGTCACATCCACCTGACCCACTAGAGCAGGGAGGCAAGGAATGTTGTGGGTCCCGTCCCCTAAGGAGGTACATCTGCTGGGATTTAGCAGAAGGGCTTTCTCTGTGGTGGCTCCCTCCCTTTGGAACATCGTCATCCCTGCAGAAATCAGACTGCCCTTCCCCACTTTGGCAGTCTTTGGAAGACCCTGAAATCGTGGGAACGCAGAATGCAATGGAGCCCATCAAGTGGCTTATTTAAGCGTGTGCTGTCGCTGGGGGAGTGGGTGGGTGTATTCTTTTTATTTTTTCCCTGTTTTGTATTTTTACTGTTTGTAAGCTGCCTCGAGTCACTAGGCAGCTATATAAATGTTCTTAAATAAATAAATGTATTATGTCATGGGGGTTTTTTTGGTCCAGAGTATCTTTGAGGTGCCCTGGCATGGACTTTAAGCTTGGAAGGAGAAAGGAGACCTCGCCTCACCCTTCCTTGCTTTCTGCTTTCTTTCAGTACCCGCAGTGCCATCTCTCTTCATTAAAGTTCTCAACAGCACCACGGTTCAAGCCGTGTGGGAACCTTCCATCAAACTGGGCCAGCCTGAAGGGTTCAAACTCTACTACCGCAAAGTCCACCTTCCCCACTTCACAGGACCCGTGCTTTTGCCCAGCAACGTCACCTCTTGCAATATTACTCACCTTGGTGAGCAGAGAAGAGGAATGTATAGAGATTATTATTAATTTGTACAAATATTAAAAAAAATGCCTATACCTAATCATTTACAGATTGAAAATATTCAGCATTATATTTTGGCTAAGGTTGAAGAAGGAAAATACAAATGGGAGAAGGGAAGGCCGAAGAAATGTATTAGTAATTAATATATTCATTATGGAATTATCAAATTTAATCCTTGTCGACCGTTAATTAATTATTACTGTCCTTTTTTTCGTGTTAAAATGTAAACCAAGACAACACGCTGTACACCAGGCACTGGAGATTGTTATAGTTAAAAAGCAATAAAATATCTATTAAAAAAAGAAGAAGAAGCTTCTTGGATGAGAGGCAAAACATCTTCAAGGAAAAACAAGGAAGTCCAGTTACCTTTTGAAAAAGCACCTTTGGGGCTTGTGTAGGGGAGTTCCCGAGACCCCCAAAAGGGGATAATTCAAGGCTGATAGCTTTCCACGTCTGACACGGATGCCAGAGAAAGCAACAATGGCTTTGCCTAGCACACTGAACACATCCCTGCCCTTGACTGACCTAACTGTATCTTCCCCCGTTTCCATGTTCTCTCAGATCCAGCAGTGGTGTATGAAGTCAAACTGCTTGCTTTCAACCAACACGGCGATGGGAACGCCACCGTCCGTTTTGTGTCCCTTCGAGAAACTGTGGAAAAAACAGGTGAGAGGCTCAACTCACCTTGAGGAGCCTTGAGATGTTTGGAGGTTGCAGAACGAGAGGTGGGAAAGGGAGAAAGAACCAAAAGACAACTGAGAAAATTGTGTTGTATCTTGTATATAATATTTATTGAGGGGAAAAATGCACACGGAATTTAAAACAAAAAACTACAGAAACTTAAAGAGTGGAGAAAACAATTTTTTTTTAAAAGGTAAGAGAAAAAGAACAGGAGAAAAAAGAATCTAAAAAAATGACTTGTGTTCCTCTTTGTAGCAACTACCGGCATTCCTACCTCCCAAATGTCGTATCTTGGTTCCCCTCTTCTTATAAACAAGCTTTTTCAATCAGCAAATCCCAAGATCATTGATTCGTTTGTGTTGGTCCATTTTCAGCAAAAAAAAATATCCAGAAAATGCTTCCAGTAATTGTTGTTTTTGTGTGTATCTTCTATATTCAAGTTATCCAGTAGAAGAGAATGCCTGTAGCTCAGGTTAAATTGTTGAGTCTTTAGTGTTCTCTGAACTTGGTTGTTTGCAGATGTTTCCTTACCCAACTAATGAAACCTAACGCTCGTCAGTGTGAATATTTGCGGGGTTTATAAACAGGCAGCAAACCCCACACTTTCTCACACCGAAGACATGACCTAGTTGGGTGAGGAAACATCTGCAAACAGCCAAGCTCGGAAGCATCAAGGACGCCACAATTCAAAGCATCTCCTAAAAAGCCTTGCTTCTTTTCTGATATTAAGCTTCCCTTAATTGCTTTAAATTGTAAGGGCACCATCTTCTACTCAAAAGACTTGGATGGCCATCTCCCCAAAAAGAGGCATGGTCCTCGCAATCTGCAGGAATGGCAAGGTAGGGGCAAGAAATAGATACGTCAGGAATGGCATCACATCTCTTGACTTGCGTACTGTTCTTTCTATTACTCATCTTACCTCTACGAGTGATGTGAGGAGAAATGTCGGGGATGTGTTTTCTTCTCCTACAATTTGTGTCCGAAGTGTAAGGGATTCTCCCTTCCTCTTTCTCACCAACCTTAGACCTCAACCCACCGTGCAACTGCATGAAGGATGAGTCAGCCAACAAAACGTCAGCTACTGGGATCATCATTGGAATCCACATTGGGGTCACCTGCATCATCTTCTGTGTCCTTTTCCTCATGTTTGGCTACAGAGGACGGTACGTTTCCCTTTCTGCCCAACGTTTGTTTTTAGCTCTGTCGTCGGGCAATTTAGACAAGACGTAAGAGTTTTGTGAATTGGGTGCATCAAGTCGGCCTGTAGGTCTTCATAACTTCATGCTCCTGCAGTGGCCAGTAGCACTTCTGCAAAGCAGCATGGCCATACAGTCTGCAAAACTGAAGTAGGGGAGTCTTCCACCCTGTGGGTCCTGTATCACGGAGCAATGGTCATCTGAACAAACATCGGAGTTTGTCTTTTTCCAAGCCAGATTCATCTAGCTCAGTGTTGTTGTTTTTTTTAAACTTGACCACTTTAAGATGTGTAGGCTTTAGCTCCCCATGCCGACTGGGGAATTCTGGGAGTTGAAGTGGCCAAGTTTGAAAAACCCAGAGCTAGCTCAATGTTGTCTCTACACTGGGGTGCCAGTGTGTGGGCACAGGGCTTCAAGGGATCCAAAGGCAACCTTGATGCATTTCTTTTCTCCCTCTCATCTTTAGCAGATTGCTGATGTGTAAAAACGTGCAGGAGCAGCTCTCAACCCCGCAGATTTCGAGAGGGCCGAGAAATGTCACTGGCCAGGCTGTAAACGGGTCTACTAAGAGGGACGATCCAGATGTCAATGGGAAACAGCTGGATATGAATGAACTGGAAAGATTGTTCCCAGCTTTGCATTCCCCACCCAGTCTGCACACAAAGGGAATAGCGGTAAGAAAAAGCATTGTGGAACTGGAATGTTGTTCAGCTTCTTTTTGTTGTACAGTGTAAACACTGGTGTTGTATGTATCAGAGAGAGAGAGGCATGCATTTCTGCCTACCTTGAGTCTCTTTTTCCTCCTGTTGTTGAATGCACACTTGAATGTAGCCAGTTTTCCATCACTTTAGTTTTGCCTTTTGATCAGGGTTTTCCGGGATTTTCTCTATTAACTAATAAAAGTTTGAAATCCCTGCTCCAAAGCACCATATAGGTGGCTAGTTTATTTCATGTAGCAATCGTTGTCTGTGATCATTGATCCTCAGCTACTTCATCTGCAGAGTCCAAAGCTTCTTTGCTTGGCCCCGGTCTCCCCTGTTCCCTAACCTCTGAATGGGTCAAATAAGGGCTGTGAGGACATAGTGATTGCAATCGGGTGATTGCTACACCTTTTCAACGCCAAAGGGAGAAATTATTAAGAAGGCCAAACAATGAATGATCTAAGTCACTGGTTCTCAACCTGTGGTCTCCGGACCCCTGGGGAGGGGTCTGTGATGTCATCACAGGGGGTCCACAAAGTCTTGATGCAGTTGAGTGCTTTAAATCTTGACTTAAGTCTTGGTGGTCCATAGCCATGGTACAAAAGGTATTTAAAGGGGGTCTATGGTGAAGAAAAGGTTGAGAACCATTGATCTAAGCAGTAACAGGGCAGAACTATAAGCAGAAAAGAGATTAAGATGGAAAACAGAGCAGAGGAAATGTGCAGACGTTATTTGATCATTTTGAAGATTCGATTTTGGTCCAGGTCTTTATGGGAGAGAAGGAAATAGAGGGAACCATGGGATTTAATTGGTGTGAGGGGTTTATTTATTTATCTGTCACATGTATAGGCTGCCCAACTTGGGCATACCAAGGTAAGTCCATCATTGCCCACCCCACTGCTTTCTAGACCAGCTGAAGCTTCTGGATGGTCTTCAAGAGCAGTCCAATATAGAATGCATTGCAGTCGTCAATCCTTAGGTGACCGGGGCATGAATGACTGAAGGCCCCCTTCCAAATCTAGGAAAGGACACATCTGCCACACCAGATGAAGGCTTTCTTGGCCACAGCTGGCACTGGAGTTGTGGCTGGGATTAAGGGTCACTTGCTTCAAGGACAGACAGCCTTTGATTTGATAAGATGGCAAGTCCCAAAGGTGTTCACATGGGTGGTGTGGCACAATCAATGGAAAATAACACCAGGATGTAATTTGAATGAATTCTTCATGTTCTAGGATCCGATCTGGATTAGTCACCAGGACCAAAATTTTTGTCTTCTGAACTTTCAGACTTGTACTGGAGCCCTATCCTCAAGGAACGTCTCTCTAGCAGAGTGTGTGCCGTTCTGTGTGT